ACCAGGTACAAGAGAAGGGCTGGGTGCGATCGTGCAGCAAGGCTGCGYACACAGAGAGAGAGAGAGAGGTCGTGCACACACACACACACAGGGAGAGAAAGAGAAAGAAGCCACACACACACACACACACACACACAGAGGTCGTGCAGACACACACACAGAGGGAGAGAGAAAGAAGCCACACACACACACACACACACAGAGGTCGTGCACACACACACACAGAGGGAGAGAGAAAGAGAGAAGYCACACGCACACCGAGAGAGAGAGAACGAATAAGGTGAGATGGGGAGAAGGAAACCGAGTGAAGAGAGKTYTGGGAAGGAGAGAGGGGCGCGCAGCGAGAGGGAAACTTCCCAGAAAGATGAACTCTCACAAGTAATCTGATTAATTTTCCAGAACAGTATAAGTCGGTCTGCGTTTGAATTCGAGACAACTTTGTTGTTCATTACGAACCGAGCTGTGTTTGGGGTGTCGGTGCCCTGGCCATTGACAGTTAACAGATCGGCATTGGGATTATTGTTAAACTTCCAGTTCACTATAAATCGAACGGTGTTTTGAATCGGTGTTACCGTTGCTGTTCTCTCCGAACTAAGTGTTGCGCTTTACTTGTTGTAATTGTTGTAAATAACCGAGAATGAAGCAGAGTTTGATTTACTAATTAACCTTACTAATAATTGTCAGACGATCCAAGTTCTAGGCAAAGAAGTACTGCAGCACGAAGGATTCTTGAGCGCGGCGTGACAGGCCAATCACACCCCACAACCCCTGGACGCTGCTGAGGACCTCTGAAGCAGGCACAGCGGGTGACAGACGCCGCTGCCTCTGGCTTCAACGGCGAACAGGTAGCCCTCCCCGGGTTTCCTCACAAAACTTTGGCGCCGTTGCCGGGGAGGGGACTGCACCCCCAAGGCCACGGCCTTCACTAATGAACGGGGGTGCGAAAGTGAAACTAATTAGCTTTTAAAAAGTTGATTAGTTGTTTTTTTTTAATTTTTATTTAATTCTGTATTTTGTTTTTTTTCCCTTATCTCCCGATCCACGCGTTTTCGCGCGAGGCGCGCTGGGAGCAAAGTTCGTCTCCTCGTCGAGGCGAACGTTTAGAGACGTTTTTTTTTTTTTTTTTAACGGCTAGAAAAAGAGACATGGAATTTTTTGTATTTTTTAATTAAAAATCCCAAAAATCATGAGTTTAAATTTTTTTAACGGCTAGAAAAAGAGATATGGATTTTTTTATTTTTTTCTATAAAAAAAAAAAAAAAAAAAATCCCAAAAATAATGGATTAAAATTTCTAATTGGTTTTCCTCGATATTTCCTGATCCGTGCGTTTTTGCGCGAGGCTCACCGGGAGCAAAGTTCGACCTCTCGTCGAGGAGAACGTTTTGGGATATATTTTGAAAACTTTTAATGGCTAGAAAAGGAGATATGAAATTTTTTGTATTTTTCAAATTAAAATTCAAAAAATCATGAATTTACTTTTATTTTAATTACGAAGAAAAGAAGCGAAATTAGGTGAACCTCGCTAGACCAAAGTTGGTCCTTTTATTTTTCCCGACATTTTGAGACCTTAGTCGGGGAAAACGGACTCCGTTTGGACGAGTGGTGACCGCCGACAGAC